AACACTGCATCTTTCTCTGGTCATTGTCAAAGATGATAATTGCCTTCTCCAATGTTGCCTGGGTGTTGCCCCACTTGGCCTTTGTGCTCTTGCCTCTTCTCTACCAATTTCCTTTGCTTGCCCCTCTGTAAGTTCTTAGAATCAGTCCGCCCCTCCCCCTCCCCTTTACCTCCTCCTCCTTTTTCCATAGTAAAATATAAACTCCTTATGTGTACTACTTGTATAGAGTCTAACTGTATGCATTGAGATTGGTATTCTTCTGCTCCTAACCAGTTCCAGAAATCCAAAGAACCCCTTTTGCTGTTTGCAATGAAACAGCAATAAGGCCAGCCAGCATCTCTATAAATACATGAGATGTGACTGAAGCTGCATTGTGGCAACTTGGACAATGTTGCAAATCTCTGCTTTTGTTCTCAATGGAAAATTAGCCTTTGGAGTAGCATGTCCCCAATTTTCTCCTAATGAAGGAACAATCACCTTTTAGTTATATTCAGTCTTTGTTGTAATTTCATTAGTTAAAAATAACAGCTAGTTTGTGATTGATTGTGAGGCTGATCATTCTTGGGCCAGGCTATTTAGCAATCAAGTTGGAAGAAATAGATTGTCAAGGGCACCACAAAAAGGAAAAGCAATGGCACCTGTCATCACTAACTTCACCTTCTTCCATGTGTGTTCCTGCTGTAAGATGAAGGTGCTGAATCAGGTAGTTGCAAGGTTTACTCCTCTATCAACCATAGAACTTCCCCTGTATCAATAATTACTGCTGCCTCACTTGCCACTCCTCCAAAGTATTCAAAACTACTACTGACAGATTTAACAAACATCTATTTCCCCATTTGACACTTACATCAAGTGCACTAATGAGCTAGAAGTCATTAATGTCCAGGGTAAAGTGACTCAAACTTTCCCACTCTTTTAAATTGCTTCAAATGTTGCACTGATCATCACAATACATAGATGTGTTGCTTGAAGGAAATGTTAAATTGGTCATATACACATACATATAAACTTACAAATTTCTAAAAAGGAGAAAAAAGAAAACAAAGTTTGAGAATTAACTATCTAAACATTCACACCCTTGAAAATAAATGGGGCATGGATTCAAATAAAGAACCAGAATTTAAAGAAAAAATAAACAAATAGGCTCAAAAAGAAAAGTTACTTGAAAGAAATGTTACTTGAAACAGACTAGTAAAATAAGTAAACTATTGGTGGACATATTTAAGAGAAAAGAGACGAGAGAACACAAATAACTAGTGGATATAAAAAGGAGATATCAATGAAGACCACAAGACATCTGTCAACAATGCCAGACCCTGGCCACTATTTTCTTGAGGTAGTGTTTATGTGAGCAACCTTGAGATAGGATGTTAATGTTTCACTCCAGGACAGACAGACAGACAGACAAAAACTAGCTTAGTGCTTGCTCTAAAGGTAGCAGATCCCTCAGGCTCACTGCAGGTTCATCCATTGGCTCTTTCATCACCTCTAGGGACATTGTGGGCAAGAGGAACCTGTACAAGCAATGCTGGTCATGAGTGACCCTGCTTGTTTTCCCATGAGATAAATAAGGCCCATTGTCTTACACCCAAGACTTCTGTGTCTTTGCCTGTATCTGGGAAACAGGCTACTTTATTAGTGTAAGGTTAACAACAGATCCAGCAAATAATGAGACTTTTAGTGATGGTATGGTGAAGATACCATTATACAGAATACTGTTCATCACTATAGCATCACTAGCATGGGTTGACAATAAAAATCAGGAAGTATTCTGTTGGAAGCCAAGCTAGCCTGATTTGGATAGTAATACATAGTGATAACTATCAGTTAAAAAAAAAAATCACAAACTTAAGAGGAATAGACTAGACTCATGATTTGACACAAGAAATTAGCAGGGAGATGTTAGAAATGAGAGCCACTGAAGATCTCAGTAAACTCCAATATCTCTGCATGCCAGGAAGGAAACCTGCAAACACAGAAAAGGAAAACACAAGAGAACTCAAGTTCTCACTACACTTCTGGCTAGTCATAAGGCTATGTTTATGCAGAAGAGAACTGAGTTCAAGTCCTCTGGACATCACTAGCTGAATGGGAGGCCACTGCATATAGAGAGATGACCAACAGAGTGAAGCCAGAGTTTAAAACAGCACGAGTTTTGGATAAATTTCTCAGCCCAGGCACATATTCACCAGAATAGTTTTACAAGACTGAAGTGTGTGAACACAGCCTTTGACCTATCACTAGCTGACCACTAAGCAATGCTGGCAGAATGGTGACCCCTGATGAATATGCAGGCACGCACGCACACACACACACAGGCACACACACACATGGACGCACAAGACCGCACACACATGTGGAGGGGGATGAATCAAATAAAAATAGTGGAAACATCAACAACCATATCCATGATAAAATTAACTGAGAAAATTCAGGAGAATAAATGAGATAAACCTGAGTATATCAGGGGCCTAGTATTGTATTTACAGGAACACTTTAGATAAAAAAGAGAATGACAGCAGGCAGAAGTCTAGACCTCTACAAAGGAATGAACATTACTGAAATTGTAAGTACAGCTACACAAAAGAGAATCTTATTAAATAGCTTCCAAATAAAATTGACTTTGGAAACAAAAGATATGTATACATAAATGTAATTTTTACTATCAATTAAAATAAAGTAAAATAAACACAAAACATACTTTAAACTGGTTACAATTCAGTAAAGTTTTTTTATATGCCATACTAAGACTAGCCAGACAACACTGGATTAATTTTGTTAGTATCACAGAGATAAAGGGCATGGCATGATAAAGGAGCCAGTTAGTCAGCAGCCCTAAACATGTATGCATCAAAGAGAACTTCAAAATGTATGAAGCAAAACCTGACAGACTGCAAAGAGCAATATACAAATCCACAATTATTACAGAAGGCAATTTGAGTATTTTCTTTCAATCATCAATAAAAAAATAAAAACTCAGCAGGAATGGCGGACTTGACTCCAGCCAACTTGACTCCAGCCAACTTGATTAGATAGGTATTTAGAAAGTATTCCACCCAAAAGAACCATGGATCAGCAATTTACCAAAATGGACTCTTTTCTGGGCATAACATGATTCCCAAGTTAGTTAAGTAATTCAATTATTTTACTCCAGTGGAATGAAATTAGGATTCATTAATGAGGTATCTGAAAAAGTCCTGATAATTAGAAATTAAATTCTAGTTCCATTATATTGTTGAACTGTCGTAAGATGTTTACATTCTTCCTAATTCTTTAATAGCGGTAGTATTAGCAGTAGAAGTGCAGTAGGCTTTATCTATATCTGAGATTCACTTTATCTCTCTTCCTGACTTCCCTGCCTGGAAATTTGATCTTCTTACTAGATCATCTTTTATTGATGAATTTTTATAGTTTTTGTTTTCTAGTTCATTTATTTCTGCTTTATATCTAACTTTTTCTCCTTGGCTTATTTAGTTGGAAGCTGAGGTTGCTGAACCCTTTTTTCTTTCTTAACAGGCATTTAGTGTACGCAAATACAGGCAGTCAAAGCAAAAATAAACGAGTAGAAGTAAATCAGACTAAAATGTTTCTTCACAAAAAAGGACACACTCAATAAAACGAAAAAGCAGCCCATGCACTTGGCCTGCAAAGCATTCACCTGAAAATGGCACCCTGATAATTAAAAAATAGGCAGTCTTCGTTCCTCCTTCTTGCCTCCAATCAAATAAAAAATGGCTAAAGCTGAAGCCAAGGAACTTAGCATTATTAATCATCAGAAAAATGCAAATTAAACCATGAGATCTTACTTGCATAGTTATTCAGGGAAATACATATCTGTATTTTCTTCCCAAAGTTGTAAACTACAAGATAAAGTCACTCAGGAGATCAAATATTGCCTTTATTTTCAACAATAGTTTTTTAGTTTTGTAGCAACAAGGGCTGGGCCAAGAAATGAAATCAGTTCCTGGCATGGTCATAGACCATAGGCATCCACTGTGGGAAAACAAGGTCCAACTCCTTAGGGAGTGAACTTTGACCTATGTACACTCTTCTTCCTGGAGTACCTTGAGTTCACTGCTTTAATAGTTTTGTTCTCGGAGGTCAGACTATCTTAATTTTTCAAACTTTTGGCAGGTAATTATGTTGATGACAAGACATTCACATGTTTTCCTATCTGTCAAATACCTGTGTGAGAGTTAGATCCTATTCATGCCACAATAAAAACTTTAGGGACAGCAGACAGACCAAGAGACCAGAACTGTGATGGATAAAATGATATGTAATACTTATATACATGAAGCATCACATACATATTTAAAACTCCTAGTTCATAGGGCAATTGCAGAGGACACAATACTTTCAGTTCATCACAACCCAAAGTTAAGTACTCAACAAGTGCCAGTCTGTAGCACTTAAGTTCCCTTCTGCATAGTTTTGCCCAGGAGCCAGACTGTCTCTTGGTCTCTACGGGGTAGGGGGGTGGGTGTGAGTCAAGGCTACTAAGTTTTAAACAATCTAAGTTAACTGCCTCAAAAATTAGGAACATTTTAGAGCAACTAATGGTATCACTGTCTTCCATGAACATTTTCATTAAGGACTGTAAAGATGAAAAATGAAATAGGAGCTCAACATTTCTTTATAATCTGTTTTGGTTAGTCCCTCCTCATGTCTTCCTTTATGAAATAATAAAAAAAAAAAACACTATAGTTGCAGAACCCTACTATGAACTGTGTATTTCTTTTGTTCTTTTTTTGTTTGTTTTGAGACAGGGTTTTTCTGCGTAGCACTAGCTGGTCTCAAACTCAAGAGATCCACCTGCCTCTGCCTCTCTAGTGCTGGGACCAAAGAAAAACATGGCTAGTTTCTATACACTGGCTAATCTCTAAAATTTTGTCGTCCCCCCTTCCCCAAACCATTTAACACATTATTAACACGGCCCAGCCTAAAACAGGTCTATGAGCTGAGTATTTCTAAGGAGTTTTAGAAACAAGTGAAGTCAGTTTGCTGATTTTTAAATGTTTTTTATTTTACATGGAACTGATTGGTGCAATCCTGTGGAACCATCTTTAATTTAGAGAAAATTCTTTTTCAAAAGTAAACAAAAATCCTTTGAATTATTTATATATTATTAATTTGTCTAATTTTTGAAAACAAAACTCATAGTCAGCTTTATCCTATTTAACTATGAATGTTACACTTAGAAATTGAAACAAGAGATGGATAGTACAGAGACATAAATGAGACCTTTCAGTAAACTGCTTTCAGTCCATTGTATTTTCAAAGGTGATTATTGAGCCCAGAGGAAAAGTTATAAGCCACAAACTATGGTTTTTAATAGAACGAAAGAATATTTAGATTATTAGCAAAGCAGTATCTTAAAATATATCTTCACCCAGTTGAAATTTTGGTATTAACTAACGTATCAAGTTGCTTTCCATTATTTACTTTAAATACAATTATGATATTCAAATATGTAGTCATATGACCAAACAAAAATATTTGGAAAATCCAAACTCCTGCAACAACTTATATAAAGATTACAGAAAAAGACAAGCTGCAAATTATGTCACAGGAGAAAAAAAATATCACACAGCTTTTGTTTATGTATTTTCTTATCTATTCATACCAGTTGAACAGATAGCTGTCAAAATTTAGCCAGCTACTGAGAGATGAAACTAAATTCATACCATTTCTGACAATAGGTAACTGCTGTTTTCAAGTTTGACACATGGTTTCATTTAAAAAGACTTATAGTATTAGCTTACTATCATGACTTTCCAGAGGCACAGATTAAATAAGGGCATTATTTATGCCAAATCTAACAAAATCTATACCTGACTCCATTTAATTACAGTGTAAGTAGCCAAATCACCCACTGGCAACCAGATACAGTGTTTTACATGTGCCCATGCTTAGTAATCACATTAACATTGGTGCTTAAGACACTCACAGCTAAGTAGATGGGACATTTTTAAAATGTCACAGGACAACTTCAGTATAAGAACTCAGATGGATAAATCTGCAAAATCTTAAATCTTCTTAATCTTTTTGTAAATGTTATTTAAGAAGTAGTGAACTGGTCTTCAAGAATCCTAAAAGGTTGAAAACATGTTTACTCCTTCTACACTGGGACATCTGAAATTAGTACGCAAGACAATATGAATTCATTTGGCTTTTGCATGCAGGTAGGTGTGTGTGTGTGTGTGTGTGTGTGTGTGTGTGTGTGTGCGCGCGCGCGCGCGCGCGCGCATTTTATGATGGCTTAGAATTAAGAGTCCACTTCTAGTCAGTAATGGTTAAGTGACTAGAATTGCTACTCAGTCACTATCCTATGATGGTACATGTTAAAGTCTCCACTACATGAGAGTCATTTAGTTCTCATCACTTGTGGTGAAGAGGCAGGGCTGAAAAGCAACTGACATGGTTTTTCTTTTTTAAACAGCAGAGAAGCCTGCTTATCTATGTAATTTTCCATCATTATGTATTCTATTCTGAATACTTGGATCAAAATCTCATTTCAGTCAGCTTAATCCACACAAGGTGTAAGAGACAAACAGTACAAACCAATTCTAAAGAATTTAAATAGGAAATATTCACAGCATTCTCTACTTTTAACTTTAGGGTTGCTAATCAGAGACTGTAGAAACAACAAAAATGAAGAGATAGAAACTAACTTCTCAGTGCATCACATCATGAGGACAACATGTATGTATGGCACTTATGTGATCCTGGCTTACGACTGTCGACTGAAGCTGCGAATGACTTGACTAGAACTAGTTCACCAGAATGATCAAATGACCCAGACACCCTTTCTTCTTTGTAAAAGTCCTGGTAATGCAATGACACAGACAACTCACTAAACATGTTTCTATTTCATTTACCCACACTGTAGTGTCTCATGTTATTCTTTATCCTAACAGTTACAACAGTGTGATTTTTAGGGTCCATTATGCTATTTTTCTGAGTGGTGGTAACACTTCTAAGCAAATGACATAGCTAGTTATAAATCATAGAATGAGAAAAAACAAAGAAACCAAAAAAAAACCTGTACATTTTCCAAACTAGCAAGAAATAAATTATATCATGATGTATTAATGAAAATTTTATCAATATTAACTAATAGTTCTATGGTAGATTATTTTCCCCCATAAAATTAAGCAGTGCAGAGTAGGGCTTGGCTACAGTTAATCACATTTGGTTTTCTTAAAAACACAACTTTATTCACTATAAACAATTAAAAGGCAGTTTTCTTCCTCTGTAATACAGACATTAAATCTAAGATTTTTTAAAAGTATCAACTACCTATTAAGAAAAGTACTTTTAAATGGTTAAAAGGAATCAGATTACCAAAGTTTAGTGTATGAAGAGTAGATATAAACCAAGAAAAAGTAGATCATTGGTGTTAGATATTTCATATGAATAGCTGCATTAAGGTCCAAAGTTTTTCCACCTTTACAAATAAAAAAGGTGTCCTCTCTCCATGGGGATATGCATTGTACATCTCTCCCAACAAGAATGAGTAGGGTTTTAGAATGTTGCCAATGTAAAGTTCTTCAGTACCTAAAATTAGAGGACAGTGATATTACAGTGGCAATGGTGCATCTGAAGCGGAGTTAAGATCCAACACGAGTTGTGGTGGTTCTTTTATCTGAGAAAAAGCTTTTCAGAAGAAACACCTGCCCTATGCTAACCACCAGAAGAATGAGGGCTTCTCCCACTGACCAATAGGCCACTCTTGTATTGAGATCCTCTGCTCGGCTTCGGCCTTGGGCCTCCCTCAGTCGGAAATGAGTCTGATAGTCGATGACGGACTTCAATGCCTCATGAATGGAAACACAAGCAGATTCCATCTAAACAGAAATATTTTCAGTTAGTTTAACATCTTTCATAGTTCTGTACCTACCATATTCTTCTGCTATTTTTAATCTCAATTTATCACTGTTTATCACTGCTGTAGTGAACTAGCAATCATTCTTTCACTCATATCAGTTGCCCTGGCAACGAAGCTCTTGTACTCATTCCCTTGAGACAACTACTGATACATCCCAAACCAGGATGCCACAGTTACGGCTCTTCTAAGGTGGTAGATAGAACACAAACTAACAAAAGTGAACATTTTTCTTTTTTAGTTAAGGCCAGTGGCTAGTAAATTTCAAAACAATTCTTAAGAACTAGAAGAATACAACAGTGGGTTAGTAAGTTCACTAATAAGGGGAACACAGGCCACAGCCAACATACTCTAAAAATAAACCAAATATGGCAAGACCCAAATCCAACTACTCAAAGTTATCTGAAACTTTAAATAAATTTTTTTAATAAAAAAAAGTATTATCCACATCTTTAGCTAACTTTTAAATCTGAAAGTGGTAAGAGAATGAGGTTTATCCTTCAGTTTTGTAGGTTTCTGTGTATATGAATGTTTTGCATGCATGTGGGCATGTGTACCATGTACATGCCTAGTGCCAAAGGAGTCCAGAAGAGAGTACTAGATCCCCTCAGCCATCACATGTATGCTGGGAGCCAAACCTGGGCCCCCCAAAAAAGCAACAAGTGCTTGTAACTGCTGAACCATTATTCCAGCTCCTGAATGACCTTTTTTCAAACGGTTATCTCTTTGATAAGTCTCTGCCCATCCAGTAACTAAACCAGTATCATTGTTAATTGACTTGTGACCTTCTACTCAGATGACAGTTTATTTTTTCTATGATTGTTATCATCTGACTTAAAATGGTTATACATTTTCTTTATATATAGCAGAGTTTAATATTGTACTGTTGAAAATCTAACCCTGGAGATGAAATACATCATTACTATTTTATCTTACAAACCATGTAGGAAAAATTTAAAAGACATATGTGACTTTGTCTTAATTTTAATTAGCTTATACAGACATTAGAAAATAACCTATTTAATGAAATTTTACTGTCAGGTATGCATGCCTGTAATATGAGTCCTGGGAAAGTTTTGGCAAGAAGATCCAAGCTCAAGTAGATCAACCTGGACTATGTGGTGAGTTGCAGGCTAGCTTGATTACAGAATAAGACCTTTTGACAGGCAAGGTAAGCAATTAACATGTAAGAACCCCTTGGATTACATCAAGAAGCATGAGTTAATAACTGTTATACTGGAGAGAATTACTGAAATTAAATGTATTCCTATTATTTTTAAGATGTGGTTTATTTTTTAAACCCTTAAAGTGAAAAATTTCATACACATTAAAAGAATAAAACAGTGAGTCCCATATCAACATTTATTACTGCATGGCTGATCTTATTTCAATCTTTCTAATGATTTAGAGCAATTCTTTTTTTTTTCTTCTTAAATGTACAGAGTTTTTCTGCATGTATGCATGCCCACGATGGTGCATTTTGCCTCTAGGCCAGAAGGCATCAGATCCTGGGAACTAGAGTTACTGGTGATTATGAACTACCATCTGGATGCTGGGAACCAAACTTGGGTCCTCTATAGACTAGCAAGTGTTCTTAACTGGTAAGACAACTCTCCATCCATAGTTAAAGCCATTCTATGACACTGTAGAAACATTCCTTCACAGCTGAAAGAAAACACTTTAGAGCACTGGAGCTGCTTAGACAACTCTCCATCCACAGTTAAAGCCATTCTATGACATCGTAGCAACATTCCTTCACAGCTGAAAGAAAGCGCTTTAGAGCACTGGAGCAGCTTAGCCTTCATACTCTGCTTTACAACTCATTTTCTATCTAGTGGCTGCTGTGGTATGGATCCTCAGTGTCCCAAAAGGCCATATGCTAAAGCGCTGGCCACTAGCCTATGACACTGATGGGAGAAGAGAGAATCTTTAGGCGACAATGCCTACTGGAAGGGAGTTATGTCACTGGGGGCACGACCTTGAAGGGTATACTAGGATCCTGGATCCCTCTTCTCTCTTTGCTAGTGTGAAGTTGAGGAACCTTCCTCTACTAAGCATTCTTGGCCATGAGTATTCTACTTCTCCACAGGCTAGCTGGCCAGAGCCGGAAACTTCTGGAACATTAACCATACTAAACCCTTCCCCCTGTTAAGTTATCTTCAGCTCTCTGTCCATTGATGTAAAGTGAGCTGTGAGTTCCCACCCCTGTTAACACTGCTTCCCTTCTTTAAAGGTAGGGGGCTCACAAAATCTTTTAACACTGGGTTTTACCACAGAAGTCTCAAGTTATCTTTCAAAAATCTGCAGACCGGGTGTTGGTGGCGCACACCTTTAATCCCAGCACTCGGGAGGCAGAGGCAGGTGGATCTCTGTGAGTTCGAGGCCAGCCTGGTCTCCAGAGCAAGTGCCAGGATAGGCTCCAAAGCTACACAGAGAAACCCTGTCTCAAAAAACCAAAAAAACAAAAACAAAAACAAAACAAAATCAAAAATCTGCAGGAATTCAGATTTTTAAATAGTCTCAAATTTCAATTTCATCAAGGAGTAAATACATGATTAAATTATGTACTCCCCCCCACCCCTTTAATCAATGCTCTTCTGCTCTTTTTTTATTTACCTGGGTAAGGGCACTGACTCGGTTCTCACTGGGAAACAAAGGTGGGTCTTCTCCAACTTGAAAATCAAAATACACCGTTTTGTGTGTGAAAGTAGAAAACTCATTGCTGAAGCAAAATTTGTATGTGCCATTTCTGGAGGCTGTGAAGGTGAAACTGTCATACTGTTTCTTCATTTCCTTGTACAACACTTTACCATCAGGATCTTCTAATCGACAATCTACATCGTAGTGACCACCAGTGATCACCTGTAAGAGATTTAGAGATCACTGCAGCTAGTGAATTTGAAAAGTCAGTCGTTTTTCTTGTTAAAATGACAACAAGGCTGTATACAGAGGTCTTCCTACCACAATTTCACAGACTGTGATTCTCACCAGTGGATTAAACATGGAGTTAAAATTCCAGTTCAACTAAAGCTTTATAGAAAGAGAAGAGGTTTCCTCCTAACAGCAGAGAGGAAACTTAATCACATTAACCATTCAGACAACTGTGCTGGTTGATATAGGAAGAAAAAAGAGGGGTGGGGTGGGACAGGACTGTTATTTTCAGGCTTTAATTCTCTTGGCTAACATACTTTTGACATTATACATCAGTAAAACAAAGAGGTCAAAGTTAGACTTCAAAGAAATTTCTATTACTTATATGACCTTTTGTCACTTGAGATGATGACTAATAGAATTATGCTACAAGACCATTTCAATAATTACATGAGATACAATTTGTACTTAAAGAGCTGTATGTGTGTAATACATGATTATATAGGCATACATACATAAGCACAAATAAGAATGAATGAATGATTGCTTTGGATTAAGACTAGGGCCGTATAGTATATTGCCGAACATCCTAGCCTGTTTTTGTCTGTGGACAAGATCTTAATAAACTCACCAGGATGACCACAAACTTGTTTCAGTTGAGAGCCTTTAACAGGAGAACTCTCTTTCCAGCAGCTCAAGTTTTTTTTTTTTTTTTTTTTTTTTTTTTTTTTTTTTTTTTTTT